GTCGCGGGCGCGTTCGTCGTCGTCTCCGCCGCCGCCCCGGCGTTCGTCGTGTCGCCCAAAGCGGTGCCCGTCGTCAGGTCCATGAGCTGCGGGCAGACCTCGAACCTGCCGCCCGGGAGCTCGAGTCCAGAAAACGCTTCGCCGCAGACGACGCAGTTCGAGCCCGTCGCGTGGAGCTTCCTCCAGCACGCGTAGCAGACGCAGGCGTGGTCGTGCGTGTTCGAGCTGCTCGTCCCCGGCCGGCACGGGACCGCGGCGGCGCCGCACGACGGGCAGGTCGCGGCTTCCGCGAGCGCGGCGTTCTCGCCCAAATTTTTTAGATGCGCGACCAGCGAGTGCACCGCGGCCGAGAGCTCGCCGCGTTTGAGGGAGCGCACGGCGGTAACCGACGACGCCGCGTACGAGTTCAGCCCATGCGCCGCCGCGGCCGCGACCTGCGACGGCTCCAGCAAGCTCACCAAATCCTCGACCGACGACGTCGACTCCTCGCGCGTCGCGCGCGGCCGCTTCTTCGGCGCCACGTCCGAACGCGCCTCGGCCCGTGCTGCCTCGAGCTGCGGGCTCCCGTCGGGGTAGTGCTCGAGCAGGTAGGTGCTCACGTCGTTCTCCGACGCCGTGTTCCCAAAGCGTGCGTCGCGATGCCCCGGTAGCGTGTGGCCCTCCGCGATCACCCACTTCAGGATCTTGACCATGACCTCGGAGTGGGCGTTGTCGACCTTGTAGGAGCAGAACTTCTTCGCGAGGGCCTCGTAGAGGATCGACGGCAGCTCGCCGCCGGCGACGATGCCGCCCGGCTCGCCCTCGAGCGCGACCATGTCCACGGCGTCCCGCAGCGGCTTGGACCGGAGCAGGCCGAGGATCTCCACGTGGTTGACGAGCGCCAGCTCCTTGGTGGAGAGCGGCGAGGGCGCGTCGTCGGCCGTCGGCCGCGCGTCGGCTCCGGCGCCGCGTGCGACCGTCGACGCGGCCGCGGGGGGCCACAGCTGCCGGCCCAGGGCGCGGGCGTACGGGGCCCGGCGGTCCTTGTCGAAGAAGAAGCTGTGGGACCACGGGAGGCAGAGCACGTAGTCGTAGCGGTTGATGATGTACTCGATGAGCTCCTTCGTGTAGTTCTTCGCCAAGTTGTCCACGGCGTGCTCGAAGCCCAAGGGCTTGGCGTAGGCGTAGGCGTCGTCAAAGAGCCCCGACGCCTTCGGGTCGATCGCGACGGCGACGTACTTGGCCACGAGGTTCATGACGTGCGTCCCCAGCTCGTTGAAGCGGAAGCCCCCGTACGTGTGGCCCCACTTGAGCGACGCGTGGACGACGGCGTAGTTGAGCGCCGCGAGCACGGATGTGTGCAGCAAGAACTCGGGCTTGGAGAGCAAGTAGTAGCACCGCGACGCCCCCTCGTCGCGCAGGGCGCGGAGCTTCAGTAAGAGATCCCGAGTCGACGTCGACGCGTCCTCGCCCAGGCCCAGGCTCAGGACGATAGCGACCATCAGCAGCCCCTTGTTCGCCCAGATGTACGCGGCAGCGAGCATGTAGGACTCGAAGCGCACATCCATGCACTCCTCCGGCTTCAGCAGGCCCAGGTACTGCAGATGCTCCACGAGTTTCTCACTTCTGAGATGCTTGATGCATGCCTCCAGCATCCGTTCGAAGACAGAATTTCCTGATGTTCTGTTGAATTTTTCGTCGTCGACGCTGTTCCGGTTCACGGCAGTCGACGCCCCGTCTGCTGTAATGTGCGCGTTGCAGTCGGCATCTACCAACGTCGCCGCAGCAGCCGTCGCAGTCGCCGCTGCCGCCGTCCGACCCCGCGTTCCGTGGCCCCGCATTCGCTCCTCTTCCGCCTTCTTTTCCAGCTCCTCCTTCCCCATCTCGCGCAGAACGTTCCCCACCGCCGCCTCGCCGCCGTCGCGCGCGTAGAAGAGCACGTCGGCCACGGTCAAGCCGACGAGCGCGAGCGCCTCGCGGGCCTTCTTCGCGAGCGTCGTCGCCTTCTTCCCGTCGCCGCCGAACGTGAGGCCGAGCGGCATCGTCACGACGGCGATGTCGGCCTTGTCCAGCCATGGGATGATCCCGCTGGCGCCGCCGTACGCGCCGTCGGCCTTCTCCGCGCGCGCGATGTACGCGTGGAGGGTCACCGCGTTGCAGAGGTCGGCGACCTTCATGTTGTCCGCCAGCACGACGCCGTTGATCTGGAGCGTCACGTCGCCGGGGCCCAGGCCGCGGCCGAGCAGCGGCACAGTACCGCTCGTCAAAAGCAGCTTGACATGCTTCATGGTGAGTCGTCGAGAGATGGTCATGACGACGCTCTTCCCGGTCCTGTCGACGACGGACACGTCGAGGACCATGTCGTGACGCAGCGGCCGCGACGGCGCGCCTGCCGACGCGCAAGCGTGAGCGGCTTCGGCGGCCGCCGATGCGCTCAAAAGGTAAAGCATCAATCGCCGCCGGTCTTGCACTTCAACACGCCGTAGCGACTACCTCGCAGCGGCGCCGGGCCTCAGTTTAATTTCCCCTTGTACTCGCGATGGGCGGCGTCCATGTCGAAGACGCGGGCGGGCGCCGGCGACGGGTAGGGAGACGGAACAGAGCCGACGCCGGGCGAGTCCCACTCCGCGTGTTCGCGTGCGGCGCCGAGGGCCTCGTCCAGACGGGCGGCGGAGACGGCGCCCGTGCGCTTCTCCGGGGTCCCCCAGATCGAGGCCTGCTCCTGGAGCGGCGCGAGCGCGGCGGCGCCCGCATCTGCCGCCGCCGCGTACTTGGCGCGTTTCGTCGGCGACGCGGTGCGCACCGCCTCCGTCGCGGCGGCCGCGAACGCAGGTAAGGTCTGGTTCTCGCGGACACGCTCGTCGGCGACCATCAGCTCCACGGCAGACCGCGACTGCCGGAGCGTCGGTTGATGGGGGTTGAGCATCGCGCGCGAGCACTTCGGT